GGAGGATGATTCAACCACTCAACCACTAGGTGTCACTGAAAACAACAAATCCTACACACTGTGCCTTTAATTAATGATGTTTTCAAGGTTAAGTAACCCTTTAATAATGATTAATTAAGGCTAAATAAGGTGTGGTTATTATAAAGTGTTACTGGCTTGGGTAATCTTTTGCAGCAAGCTAATGCAACTTCCTGTGAATGTTCAACAGATGCAAAGATCAGTTTGATTTATTTCCGTCTTGATCTGGTTGTGTCCTCTCCTGAACAGATTGCTCCAAACCCAATTTGTCGAAGGACCGAGCGCAGCTCAGCTCCTCCATGAACATGCCGCAGTCCTTCGGGACGGCGATGGGCTTCTCCCTGTCCGAGACGCTGCTTATGGCGTCCCTGCCCGGCCTGTCCCAGAACGCCAGCCGCCTCCACGCCTCGGAGGACAGCATCATTTACCTCGCCCCCACTGCTGACACGAACAGGTGCTGGCCCATCCGCCCYACGCTGCGCAACGAGCTCGACACCTTCTCCGTGCACTTCTACGTCTTCTTCGGTCCAAACATTTCCATCCCGCCGGACAGGGCCGCCGTGTTCGCCATCAACCTGATGCCRGTGTTAGACAGCGGCGGAGTCCTCAACATGGAGCTAAAACTCAACATGGTGAGTCCCACAGGTGCCTCTGTTCCTGTGTTTCATAGCATAGCTCCACACTGATAAGCTTTTAGAAACCTGAACTGCGATCTTAGATTTCACCCCTGATCTTTCACACTCATAAGTTCTTTTCTTGGATCAGATTGAAGTAGTGTAAAAATGCTGCAGATGGTGAAGAAAAAAAACCCTCTCCATCTAGCACAGGCAAATTAGTCTCACAAAGTGTGTCCCTCGGATTGCTAAATATGGATGCACGTATGGTCGTACTGTTTGCTGCGGGGACTGAAAAAGTTCAGTCAGAAACCGGCGCCAGTGTTTGTATTTGTGGCATATGTCTCTAACTGAGAGCAAACAAAACGCAAAAATCCTCCAAGCAGGACTTATTATTTTGCAGCTGATCTGTCTGTCAGGAAGAGGTGGCYTTAGGAACGTACCTGAAGGGACCCTGAAGAGTTGCAAGGTGGTAAACAGGCTTTTTCATTTGCAGAAATCAAGCCCACCGGGGCTGAAATAAATAGAGGTTTAGGCTGATCAGCACCTTTTCGGTTCCAAACATGTCCTGACGTTTCAGAAAATATCTCTGATTTGCTGTCTTTCCTAATAATTAAACTGATGCTGAATTCATCTCTGTACATTCAAAAAGTGTTTTGTTCAAGGACGATTTTAGCCTGAAGACTCATCCAACAACTCTACCTTAAAGGGACATTCTGTTTTTTTTCTTTTCTTTTTTATAATGTTCTACATGGTTATTAATTATTAATAGAGGTGGTATACCTTACTCTACAACTGATGTCGTGGCTAATAAGGAGCTAACTTTTAATAACTATCAGACAGAACATTATGAAAAAATGACCAGACTATCAATTTTATGACAAAATGATCAGATGATTTATTAAACAGAGCTACAGAGAGAAGCGGTGGCGGCTCCTCTCTGCCTTCAGGACGTGTGATGTGCGAGGCTAAACGCATCCTTCATCTCCACCGAGCACAAAGAGATGAAATTGATAATCGATCCTCCCATCCAACCCCTGCTATGAAAGCAAACGGGCTTATTTCCCCAAATGTCAGAAAACCACACAAACAGCGGCGCAATGAGGTGGTGAAATGATCGACTCTAATTAATCTGTGAGTATGTTCTGTGACTGCGTGGTCGGCGCTTGTCACTCGGTGGGAGATCAGTGTCAGTGTGGGTGTTTGTTGTTCTCGTGATGATGCCTGTGTTTTCTTGAGAAGATTCTCTGGGTTGTATCTGTTAGCGTCGCACCATCACTCTGGCGGTGTTTAAACCTGACCTTTTATTCCCAGGACTTAGCGTTTGAGCTGTTTGGCTGATTTTGCCTCTGCTGAAGTCACAAGGACAGCGTGTTGTGATGAAACCTGTTTGGGATGATTGGAAGATGGGATTTTTTTTTTTTTTTGAGGAGGTATCACGGTATATTGTTTTATGGACAGATTTCTGGCCCCTCGGTGATCATCTGTCACTTGCTTGTAAAAGACTTCAGTCAGCCGCTGCCAGTTTGGGGACTCCGGCAGATTTGAAAAGCTTTAGGAGACAATAGCCGGGGCTCCGTGTCTGACTTACATCATCCTCGGAGCCGGAGTGTTAAAGGAATGCATATGGCTCCTACTATATTTCCACTAACACCTCAGGCGGTGTTGTATTGATTTAATCATTTTAGAGCCATCTTTCAAAGTTCTTTTTGGGTAGGGCTTGATTTAAAAGGAGCAAATAAAAGTAATGCAAGGAGTGCTTGTATTTTATACTCCATATAGTGAATGGGGTCTGTGCTATCTCAATGGTCAGTGCTGCCATCTTGAAATCCTGCTGCAGCTTTGAACCCATGTTTGTGTCAGGAAATGGAATCTGAGCTAAGACAATTGCCAAATTGTTCGTGTAGCTTTGCTCTCTGTGGTGACCTGAAAAAAATAAATACAAAGTTTTATGTAAATTGATTATTGTTGCATTTTTTGGGCCACAGAGGTAAAGGTAAAGTGGATTACGTAAAATAAAAGATGATGAAAAGTTGTATTTTTAGCATCTGAAATTGTATTTACGTGTCTTGTCATTGTCCACCACCAAAGTCAAACACATAAAAAGCTGTTCTTCAATCACTGTTACAGATATTGAGCTAAAACCTGGTGTGGTTGTAGCTGAAAGTGATTCTCAGCACACACTCTAAATACCAGAGGTGTATAATAGCAAAGTTTATTACTTTGTTACCATACTTAAATAATCTTCAAAGATCTTTAATTTTACCAAGTATTTTTTTAAATAGTAACTTTTACTTTTATTTTGTTAAATTCAAACCACAAATCTTTTACTTTTTAAATTTAAAAACGAACATTGCGTTATTGTGATGTGCGATACTGAAATGTCGATACCAGAACTTCGTGCTCTAGAATTGATACTAAAATCATAATATTGACTTTTATACTTCAGTCATTTAAAGTACTGTATGTCATTAACAGGAAAACAGTGGAAAATAACTAAACTATTGAAATCTTGTCTAAATCATATGCGCTTAGAGGGAACTACTTTTTCTTCCGCTTAAGTGATACATAAGTGCAGTGGCACATTCAGTCACTCAGTGTGTACAGGTGCAGACTGAGCATATAATATAATAATAATGAAGTTGAAGTTAATAATATAACATATAATTTGTTTTATCTGACTGTCTGTAATTATTTACAAAGATGAGGGATTCCCAAATTTTTCTATGCCATGGACCCCAAACAGCAATAGCTTCTGGCCGGGGTGCCCTTCTGCAAACCCACAAACAATGGGCCTCATGCAAAAACCGTTCGTACGCACAGATTTGTTCTTAAATTGTGCGTACGAGTGATTTAGGAGAATTTGTGGCATTCACCAATGTTTTCGTATTCTACGATTTTCTTCAGTTTTCAATTTACGAGTGGTCCAGACCTGTCGTACATTTTACGAACAGTCAGTCTGCTGTTATCCAGACGGG